AGCATCAACTCGTAGACACGCTTCCAACAACTGAAATGTACGCCACCATACCACTTTCTCCTTCTCTAATGCTGTTTCCCCACATTCATCCAATGTGGTGTATGTCTGACGCTGCTCCTCTAGTCTAACAGACTCTATTCGCAATGCTTCTAATTGTTGCCTCAAGGCATTTTCGCGTGTGATGCCTTGGAGACGCATTTCGTGCATCTCGTGCCGCACAGCTGCTTTTAGGCGTGTGAGTCGCTCAATCTCACGCAACATTGCATCTCGACACCGCTGCTCTTTCATACTCAGTAGCAACGGTTCCGGCTGTTGTTGTTGTTGTTTCTGTTGTTCATTCTGTTGTTGGTGTAGATGTGAGTCACTGTCAGTGTATGCACATCCTTTGAGGTGTGACTGCACACACCATTCCCATTCACAGTCCTCCCTTCTTGCTGCTAATTCCATGGCGTAAAGAGACTGTCGGGCCATAGACTCTTCCTCCTCTAGAGCATTCTGCAGTATGTCTCTCCATTTATCCGTCTCTTCCCATCCAACGTCAGTGTTTTGACTAAACTCATCATCATCATCATCATCATCATCTTCCTCTTCTTCCTCCATTGCCCCTTCTGCCTTTCTATCCACTATTCTTTCAAAGGTTCAAGCTCATCTCGTTCCTGACGCAGTGCCATGAGCTTTTGGGAAACCTTCAGTGTATCTCTATGAATCCGGTGTAACTCCACCTCATACTCTTCTTCTTGCTGTTGTTGGTTCTCTTGTGTTTGTTGTGATGGGGACTCTGCAGCCACCTCTCCTCCTCCTCCTCCTCCTCCTTCTTTTCTTTTTCTTCTTTGCACTCGCACCTTCATTCGCCACTGAGAAACACCATCACGCATTCTCTCCCGCATTTCGTGCGCAGTGTCCAGTTGCTTGCGCAGCCTGACGGTCTGTTGCCATGCACGTCTTTCCGCCTCTTCACGTGTTTGGCCACACCGCGCCCGCAGCTCCGCGAGGTGTTCCATCTCCAGCCGCACA